ATGAAGGCAATACCTTTGATTCAAACTGAAAGATATGAATGGGTATGTGATGTAAGGTTAGTTTTCACTAGATGATAACTCAGGGCGTACAACTAAAGTTTGCAGAGATTTTTTCGGGGTTTGAATGATTCACTGTTGGTACGTATGACTGTACTGAGGCAAATGACAACTACGAACAAAAAAAATAGTTCTTCAAAAACTTAGCTACTCTGTAAAACTTGGGCACTATGGTAGATTGTATTTTTATTTTGGTCTTTTTATTAATGTCACAATGAAAGAGTATCATTTACTGGATAACGTTTCACAGATAATTCATTGTTCATATTCATATCAGATGGTACAAACAGTTAGTATTAGATCTACCGAGAAGTTGCTTCTAAATGGTTTTTGAATATCCCCCTTAAAACCTATGCTTTGGTTCACCAATGATATTCATTTTCTGAGACCACACCTAAAACTCATCTCTATCAGAGTTTTACTCCTGTCAAAGTTACTTCGTAGTATACTGTCATAAGATACTTCTCATAGCTGTTATACTTTTCAATGAGGCCCTACTCAATTAACTACGTGTCTGTGAATCACTGTATGATAATTGAAAGTGGTGATCTTACTGCATAACGGATCTTAAGTTCAATGATAAAAACTAATAATTTACTAAGTTAATAGATAGTTGTATGTTGAACTATGTCTTCAACCAAGAACGAATATGAACCCGATTTACTCGGCCATAGTGCTAAAGATGGTGTTATTAGTAAGTTAAAAGAAGTTAGCGAGAAATCATATTCGTTATTTTAATATTTGTATTTCTTAATAAATAATGAATACCATTTACCCAATGTTGAAATATTTTTGAAAATCGTACAAGCTACTCAAAAGTAGTATGAAGCAAAGAACACCATGTTTAGGGATGAACTGAGGGTTATTTCGAAATGTTACGTTGACAGGAACTAAAATTATCGGTTAGGCAATAAAATCAGTTGTAGGACTAGTTAGGTATGAGCAATAATTCCCATTCTATAAATAAGGAATTTTTGAACTGTACATTGATTCTCATCTGGCTTTATGATCGCTCGCTAACAGACTGGTAATTTTACGAGAACTTAAGTTTGAAACTGGTCAGTAAGAGGAGAGGAGAAAAGCAGTTAGCTATCAACTAGGAGTAATCCAAATTATCTTTTCACTCCGTAGTAAATATCACTTAGCTGTATCAGTGATATATATGGTAATTTCGGAAGACAAGAAGCGATACAGTTCTGAAGGGAATAAAGCAGATTATTGGATAAAGGTCAAGAACGCTGGCATACTTAGAACGAAAGTGGTTGCTAATGTGACTTTACGGTTTACCATCTTCAAGAAAGTTGATTGTAATAATTTAAAGATCCCCATAGATTATTTAGAACAAGAATAATTTGAGAGAAAAATTGTTTCCAATAACTTCTTCTTCAGGTTCTACAGTAATAAACCCATGAAAATAAATGAAATACAATAACTAAAATAAGGCATCAAGTACAATTTCGAAGCAGTCAGTGTTATGGGTGAATGGAGATCAAATCGAATGGAACGGTGGAATTGTGATAAGTCTAGAGTGTTAGTTGTGCAATGAAATCAATATTGACCGAACAATAATGAAATGAGGAGACAAAATCTACAGATAATGATTCATTTATATACATTTATTGGGGCATGAATGTTGGTGTGTGTGTTTACTAAGGGTCAAGTAATGATTATGTAGTGATGAGTTATATTCAGGTAGAATGAAAATCAAGTGAATACTACAACGAAGTAGAGAATAACAAATGTGAAGTGTTACGTCATGGTCGAAAATGACTACTGATAGTAGCATGAATAACGAAGGGCGTAAGATTAATAACATAAGAAAATGAATGTTTATCAATGTAATGAAAATATAAAAGAAGGGGACGGGAGGTTAAAATGTGCAATTTATGGTAGGAAAGTTCATGGAGAAGGTGTCGACTCTGTTGTGATCGAAGATAAACAAAGTGGATATACATATTTCTTTTGAATATACAGGTCCGGTTTTCTTGTGTTGATCCCTATGGCTCCGGCTGTAGATAAGATACGAAGTCTTGCATCTTTAGGGAGGTTGGAAGGGACACAGCATATCACAAAGAATCCTCTCACGTCTAATAGACATCAGATTAAAGTAGATTACCCCATAACACTTAATAAAGTTCGAATTATTTTTCGTTTTATAATATCTAGTATCTAATATTTAGTGATTAAAAGAATCAATAATTTATAATCACTAAATATTCGATACTGGATATTAAACAACGAAAAATAATTCGGACTTTGTTAAATGTTATGGGGATCGAAGTTAAATGAACCCTGCATCCACTTTATTTTGTAAGTGATTCGACATCACCACCTATTGCATTTCACGTTTATTGACTGGAAACAGATGACAGAACTTACATACTTATGCTGTATGCTAGTGTGACCAAAGTTCTACCTGACTGACTGACAAAACCAACCTAGAACCTCGCACACAAGTGCATCTGGTCAAGTTGCCACACTTCACAGTAGTACACAAAAAGCAGGTGGATAGAAAAAGAGTGACATCAAAGTAGGTGAAATTGTGTGAGAGAATAGACAGTCTGAAGATTAAGGTTAGTGTAGATATTTAGATATCAAGCAGTGAGTACATCTCCACCATTCTGACCGATTTTCAGCCATTTCATCTAGACTCCTCAACCACTAATTACTTTCGTCTCCAGAACCCCAACCAGGCAATCTGCATCTCCCCACATGGCTCATACCGACAGTCGGGGACTTCATCGACTGGTACCACGTCTTGGTCTAACCCCCCTGAACCCTTTGCCAACCTAACCCAACTTGCTTTAGCATGGCACGTTGAGGTAAGCGGTGACTCGGTATGGGCAGTACATATCCAACCCATCCTAGTTGACTGAGGTTCACAACCTTATCACTTGGATTATCTGTCTTGCCTAGTATCTTTCACCTGACTGACCTCAACATTTCTCACACGGCGTTCCCACTACACACAAGCAATGCTACGAAGATACTTATTATCAAAACCATGTAACCAATTCATCTCTTCTACTTTTTACGGCCATATCTCAGCCGTACAACAATACAGAACGGACTTTCGAGAAAATAGGTAACTAAAAAGTACCAGCATCAATCTATTCCACTGGCTAACTAGATCAAGATGATTTAAACACTTGACGTTTGTTGTTTCATTAGGAAGCCTAACTTATCATCCGTATTCCTGAATCCATTTAGACTTAGCAACCGAACTACTCATGCTACTTCAATTCTTATGTTGCTTCAAGAACAAGAACGACATGAGTAGGTACATCCCACTTTTGAGTGATGTAGGTAACCAAAATCAAGTCTGACTAATGCTATAAATGATCCGAAAACGCAAGCTAAGTGAATACATCAGCAGACCTTAGTGAACTAACGCTGAGCTACACAGGTTGAAATCTCACATAGATAGTGATTTTCTGAAAGGTATAATCACATTTTGTTTGTTCAAGTTAACAAACTTGGCAGCAATGTGACAGTGAAATAATTAACTACTGTAAAAGTGAGACCTAACTGTTATCATGGACAGATTATAGGGAAGGAAAAAGAAACTCACTCAGCCACTTTATGCATATCCATACAGTAGGCAGTGACCCACACCTGTTGTGTGAAGGCTACCCCAACCTCGGTAAGTGGAGTCATCCTCAAACTCGAGACCCAATAGTTGATAGTCATCTTCTCAAACCACTAAGCCCCAGCTTCACACTGTACAGATTACAAAAGTAACCAGTCAGACTTATTGGTATTCACATTTGCCCCCTTAAATCTACGTCAATGAAAACTTAAAATGCTATTTGATTTCACTGATATCTGACTATTCATTATTAGTTCAGCTGTGGGAAAGCATATAAATATGGGGAGAGTGAATAGATGTTTTAATCAGCATCCATACTGCAAGTATTTAGAATTATTTGGTTCAGTTGTCCAATAAAGTAATTTTGTATTTTTTCTGTCTTTTGATTTTTTCAGTTGGTAATGGTATTAAGTCGACAGTAGTTTGATGCCAAATCAGTCAGGATTAAAGCATAACTTGTGGATGAGTGATGCACATTTGTACCTGTAATATGCATTTTCAGGTGTACGTATAGTTTTTTCCTCTGTCAGTCAGGACATGATCTCGCATCGATGATAAAGTACACTTACTGAAGATGTCGGAAATGTTGACTGACATTATGGGATTTGATTAGAAAACACTCTAAAATGAGTTACTCAACAACATTTTGTTTTAGTGGTAAGTATATCGAAATGGTCTTAGCAGCCCTTTCTACATGTAATGAGCCACACCCATTGTGTGAGAGCCAATGATACTACTTGATTGCCCAAACCTTAGCAGTTTGGTAAATATTCAAGAAAATGTAGATTACTGAACCCCTTCCCAGTAGCTCAATGGGAAAATCCTGTGTTCGGTCCCTGGCGAGGCTGTGTGCGCTGTTGAACAGTCCCATACCAGGACGAAATAACTGTTCAACGTTTTAACCAGTTCTTCAACAAACTCATCCACTATAGCAATACAATGTCTACTTGGTAACTTTAGATTCATCTTCCAGTTAAATAAATTTTATGGGTCCTTTACCTGCAACTATGATACGAAATATTACTATTAATCGCTTTTGTTTAAAACAAATACTATATGGCCAAGATAAGTGACACTTTAGAACATGAATTCTTAAGGAAGATGTGCCTTCCCTGTTCTCCGATAAAATGATGAGTGAAACATACCATGATCTTTTTCTGACTTTTGATAAACATAAAAGTGGATTTAATTTTCCAGAAAAAGATAATATGCTTTATTTTAACTTATATTATGCAAAGAATGTATTCTAAATGTTAATTTAGATGCAAAACAGAAGTTAGCCAGATATACTTTTTCAATGTTTGTTCAGTTCTCATCTATGTGTCTGTATGCATCCTTTCTAACTTGTGCATGCATAGTTTACATTATAGCACTGCTACATGAACCAAGATAGTTGTGCAGTTTGTAGTTCGTCAATTAAACACTGGAGATTGAGATACATTGAAAAATATTTATACCCTTGTCGTCTCCTCCAGAGGTGTCATCTTTCTCACATACATGCATATAAATGCATAGGTGTAATATTTATTTTTCTGCACACACCGCATTCAAGTCATTATTTTGTTTTACAATCAATTGAAACATCCGCCTACCTAAATATTGGATCAGTTTATTCATTAAACTATAGTGAGACTTTTTATTGATCAATTGATTGAGTTAAATACGACAGCTCACTTTTTTCTTAGATGAACTTAAATCAGACGAAATAAAGGTGACTGTAAATACTCATAAACAAGAAGGATTGCCTAAACTTTTCATTCATCTTTCATTTTTAATACTGAGAATACATTTCTGGTTTGAGGAAAGAGATTTACTCATCATGAAAGAAGCGATTTAACTCTGAGTTTCTCAATATCAAGCTCAGATACACATGAAAATACGTAGAAACGCGAGATTTGAATAAAGTCGTTACAACAATTAAAAGCGTTATGATAATAATGAATAGAAATGAAGATGCTTCGACACTATCCTTAAAATTTCCTAAGGGGTCAAATAATCATCCAAAGTGTAATTTTGTGGACTCAGTTAAACAAAATACTTACCGATCACTGAATGATGCACAACTTCATCCTACGGATTCTCATGGTAAAACTGGAAAATACAAAATAATACGAACAATTGGGCAAGGAAATTTTGCAAAGGTTAAATTGGCCATTCACCTTTTAACTGGACGTGAAGTAAGTACTATTGAAGGAATATTTGAATATTTTCCAATGTGCACAATGGCTGCATGGAATATATATGCAAAATATAATTTTAAACTAGCATATATTCACAAACGTAGCTTACAGATTGTAAATGTAGAAGTAATACAATACAACAACTTGAAAATTAGGTAGATATAAACAGGTTGATCTGTTGTATTTACTGTGATGCCATTTGATTCACCACTCTGATAAAACGTACAGTAATATTTTATCTTGGTGTTAGCTGCTACGTATTTTGTCATGGCTATCTCAACAAAATCAGACAGACAATCCCAGACTTAACAGATTGATGCCGTATCGTGATCCGATTACCTTTAGATCTCTCCTAATCTAGTTGTAATTCGTCTTACACTGTGCACTGAGTTAGGTCACATTTAGATATGCCTCAGAAATGTTTCATCCAACTCAATTTGAAAGGGTTAACAACGTAATTGTTAAACTGGTAAATTTATCCCAGAATATTGGTCTTTGGAGTTTGGACAAACATTTTTACTTTCCTATTCGAGTAGATGTCACGAGAAGCATTGCTTTCAAGATAGAATTCATAACAGATTGACATCAGTTGGCCAACGATTGAGAAATGACCCGCAACCATGCAGTGAATCCTACCCAGAACTTTCAAGTCTCATGGTGTGCGCGTTGTCACTTAGCTACTAGGCTCAAATTAAATAGTTCACACTTTCTTAACTCTGTCATTTCGAAATGTAGCGTAACCCTTATCCATTGCCGCAGGTGAGTGTGTCTATCTGCACACCTGACCAAGTGGAAATCCAAAGTTCATTGCTTCACATTGAAACATTGGGTAATTCAATACTTCCAGGTTTTTAATCATTCTCTAATTGATGTTAGCTTATTATTAATACTATCCTGAAACTTATCAAACCCGTCAGACTGAATCTCTGTCTCATGCTGATTGGTAGTATCCTTAAACTTACGTTTCCTGATAATCTCAGACTAACTGGAGATTATTTTTACGTGTGTTTATTGATATATATTCACGTGTTTTCCGATTTGGTGTTTGGCGTTACCAGGTAAAGTATTTTACATATTGGTGTCAGTTTGTTTCGTTACTCACTTATCTAAGTTTCATAAATTACCAATGCATCTATCATCTCACAGATTCGTGATCTGTTTCAAGTCTAATTATTGATTTTCTAGACCTATTAATCCCTTTATCCACTAACTGTCTAAACTCTGATAAAATAATGCTTCATGTGAAATTTCAATTACAAAATGTTTGTTAACTGTAAAGAGACTTTTTCTCCAGAGATCTTTCGAAAACTCTCATTGTCTATATTATTCAAAATGATCAGTATAAAACTGTAAAAATGCAAATAAGGTTTTCTTCATACGTAGGTATATGTTCAACATCCTTATCTTAATGCTCTGAATAGCGATCGATTGCAGTCGAAAGCTACAAAGTATATTACGCAGTAACTACAACAACAAAATAAATCAAATGACTATACTGATTTGGTTAAAAGATGCACAACTTTGTCTATGACAAAAATGTATCACTGCAACCGATTATGCATGCCTTTGGAATCTATCTTCAAAAACCTGTTGCGGATACTTCTAAAGTTCATTGAAGCTTTGGTTGTAGCAGAAGTCTGGATCCATCCAAGATTTGTTTATTTGCTATACAACAGTATTATTTCATTCAGTTGGTCCCCTTCCCTTTATAGCCTGTAGATAGTTGGAAAAAAGGTGATAAAATGCAATGATTCTGCAAAATTTGTTGTTCTAGCTTTACTGAAACACTATTACTTACTTGATGACGTTTTAAGTACAAATTATTGCTCATAACCATATCAATGAAATCACACTACTTTTGACATCTGATTTTTATATTTCTATCACCTCATACCTTTTGTTTTTATTGGTAGTAAAATTCTCCATATCTGTAGTATTGCTGCTGCGTCATTCTTATTACATGTGTTAGGTGTTGATTCGATAAACAAAGAATCAGTAATCAATCTCTCTCTCTCTCTCTCCACCTAATTATAGTGAACTTAAGTACAGTGGCTTTATGCCACCCTATTGTATGGTTGTGCATTAATTCATGTGTTGCAATAGCCAAGTTGTTTCCTAGATTATTGATTCTGCTGGGGTCTGTCATTCTATATTTAGCTAAATTTCTATGTTCTGATTATATAACTAACCGTGACCGGCTAGTTTGACCTATGTACTTGACCTCACAGTCATTACATGGAATTTGATAGGTTAGCTTATTTTACTGAATTCGATTTATCGGATCTTTAACCCGGCCAAGCTTATCTCTAAGTGAGTTTGTAGGTTTAAATGCCGCCCTAACTGCGACCTTGTTGAGAATCCTACGTGAAGTTTCTGATGTTTCTTCCCTCTAGAGTCTTTGGACTCCTTTCCACTCTTGTTGTCACTATTATAAGTACTCGCATTACTATTATCATTTCGTTTCTTATGTGTTTGTATGTATTTCCTACCTACCTATCAATTGGTAACGCTTCTTACATGCATTTCACATCCTTGTTCAAGTTCTGACAATGACTAGGGAGTTTTCTAGCTCTATTATGTAGACGTTCAATTGAACCCGCCCTAACTGACATTGGATGAGATGAACTGAAGTCTAGATACCTGTTGGAATGTGTCAGTTTCCTACAGACAGTGGTATTTGAACCACCGTCTGTTCTTTATTTCACTGTGGACTTTACCTTAAGTAATTCTCTTTGTTCATTTTCTACCTCGTAAGTGAATTGGATTACGTCTACTACTGAGTTTATATGTGTGAGGAAACTGTCGATATGTTCTGATTTCAACACAGTGTGTCGTCCACATGTTGCCACCATATCTTAGGTGCAGGGTTAAAGGTTTTTAAAGCCATGTTTTTCCAACTGTCCATAAATATATCTCCTAGGATTGTGGATATTGGTGATCCAAATTCTGGATCAGTTTTAAGCATTCTAAAATGTTTTCTCTAACGCAGCATACTCTCGTTGGCAACCCAACTTGTATATCAAGATTTATGTACATGTTGTGTTTCTCTTGATTTGATCCCTGGGTTTGTAATTCGATGTGTCTTTCAGTTTGATATTTTGACCTTTACTGTTAACTTTCATTTGTGTATACATAACAAAAGCGTAGTTGTGTGTGTGACTAGGTTGCTTGAAATGTACCAAGCAAATACATGACAGGTTTTAGACAAACTTTCTTCGTATCGTCTTGTTAATATTTATTCAGGCAACTATTTATTTCTTATATTCAGAATATCTAATTTTATCTTGAGGTACATTGACCTAAATTAATATTCAGTAGAATGGAAGGCATATCTCAAATATGATCAGTACTCCATCTATGGTCTTCAATATTTTTACTTATATGAGGTCGGGTATTGGATGCACATCAATCTTGTAACTGATGATAAATTAGTTTCGAAGAAGTTATGAAAGCAATTGTCCCCCTTAAAAACAATCATTACATATTTGTTTATACCTCTTCACAACAAAAGTGTGTGCGTAACTCATTTTGTTCTTTGTTGAGTTGTTGAAAATGTGGTTCCTACTTCTGATCTACCTATTCTGCCGCTAAAATCATCTACTGTGCAATGTAGGAATGCAACCGAAATGCGACAGTGTACTAGATACAGATTTTTGGCTTGATCACTTCCGCAGTCAGTTATGATATTTATGATCACGTAGGTCCTTTTAGCTTTTTGCATATTCAACCGCTTAACTGAAACTATTTCGGATCACCTACGAATCTTGGACACTGAATATTTATGTCTCAAAAGATTCAGGTCATCAGTGACAAAGAGAAATCCAATATGAAACATTAACACTAGTTCAGTTTAGATGAATAGAAATGTCAAACAGAAGAACATCACAGTCTCTCTTTCATCCCACTGAAATACCTTCAGCCTTCACCGAAAGTGTGTTGAAAAGTGAACTCAGTAGTTTTATGTTCACACAAGTTGTTTCATTCTCCTTGAAGATGCTTTGAATCATTTATATTCTGTAGTTTTTAAAATCTATACTATCGAGAATGAAAGGTATCTTTATTCTGGATGCTTTTTTGGCTACCATCCACAAGTGACTACTTTGATTTCAGACAACATCAGTTAAAGATTTCATCTTTACATGAGTCACAGACAACAAAACTTTCTATCTTGTATGACCATTCTGACAATTAGCAATGTTTAGGTTAAAGTATATTTTTACTTTGCTGATTATCGATATTTATGGGTGTTAACTGCTTACAGGCAATTTGGAGGAAGTCCTGTGTGACCTAGATTTCGTGCTTTTTGGGACTCGTCAGCAATGCCCATCTGCAACTTCTCGGGAACTGATGCCCCCCTATGAGATTAAAACCTCCGACACCTTATTGACGAGTGCTGACAAGCGCGAAAACCAAGTCAAGCAGGGTTTCCTGCCAGTTGTCTCCAACCAAATAACATCCATCAAAGTGCACTGAAGTGATGAACCTTTTAGCTTGGTGGCTACATTACAAAAATGACTGATAGAATTCGGTCAGCACTCAGGAGTAGGCAACATGAAGTTGGTCGCTCTTCAGTGACCAATCAATGCATTTGCGTACAGAACGATTCCTATTGCTCATCACTAGAAAACATGAGATTATTGTTCATCTATACATTATCACAGGGATATTGAACAATGAGTGATATGCAGGCAAAATCAGTTATCAACTTTTCAATATCATGAAATGTGATTCCCAGACCTCATTACCAACAAATTACAGTTTGTCATCCTAGTATAGTAATTTGAAACAGATATAGCTGTCTTACTTTTCTATCAAATCAAAAGATTAACAAACAAAATATACTTGCTTATTCTCTTAAAAAAAGAAAGCAAATAATGTATAGTTTTCATTTGATTTGTAAAATAGTGGAGTCACCTTTGTTTATACATGATGGAATAAATTTTATTTACATTGGTGCTTTAAAAGTATGTAAGGAATATCTTCTCTAAATATTAAAC